AATAAATATATTGAATTATTTCACTGAGAAAAATGTAGTAAAATCAATATACAGTTTTTAAAATTAGAAACATATTATACCAGCTTAACACTTTCCCAATGTTGACTATAAAGCACATAAAGAAAAAGTGAAATTTGGCCTATATAAATTCACTATCAGTTATCATTAGTAACAGGAAACAAGTGAGTGACACATTAGTTGAATACACCAGCAACAACTTAGATATCCACGGGGCACTAGGAGAGCAAGTGGATCTTCCAAATCTTATAGTACATAATTATTTCCAATTAACTTTGTCCTAATATAATAGTATAATAACCTTTTTACGACAAGACAAGGATATTGGTTTAACATAATAATCACTAAGATTGGCCTATCTGCAAAGCTCTCACTAATCAAATTTCAATAGTCAGAACTCTTTCATAAATGCTCCACTCAAGCTTTGAGAAATAAAATGCTTTGAAAACACAAAAGGTTTTGTGTTTGCCTCCAAACCCTCTCCTACCCCCAAAAAAATGCAGCCATTGTGCTTTTTGCCTTGAAAATCATAACCTAATTATTTATTCCTCTGAATTAGAAGGAATAAAATACATAAATTCTAATTACTTTGTAAAATACCCTTATCCTTACAGGATTTAGGTATGTGTTTGACCTGATTTAAAATAAAATATATCAGCTTCTTTCTGTAAAAGGATCTTTCCAACTGCATAGCCAGCAATAAACATCCTTTTGCAATTGTCTCTCAGAAACTTTTGATAGATCACACGTATTGTTATCACATCTAGTGAGGAGCTTTCTGGTCATATCTAATCATTTAAAAGATATAAATAATACATTTTTAAACATGCCTTTTTAAATATGCAAATAAATTTAAAATCTATCCTCAACTTTAGAATAAATTAGTACATGAGAGAAACATATTTTACTTAAACCCGGTTATTTCTGAAGGAAAAAAATTAGAGCACTGCTTCTTTTCATAAGAAAAGGAATATATCTCAATTTTTCCAACCACAAAGCTTGCTCCACACCACTCACCAATTATATTTGATAGCCCTCTCAGATAATTGGAAGTTTTTCTTTTTATTTTCAACACTCAGGATGACCTGAGTAACAATTATTATGGTTACTTTTGCTACCTTTCATTTGGCACAGCCTGCCCAAGCCATTTGACATAGCATTTCATTGATTCCCCACAGTGTGCATAATGCACATATTAATATTTCCATTTTGATAAATGAAGAGAACGAGGTTCGAGAAAGTTCCAAGATGCCCAGTTTATGTGTGGTAGATTCCTTCCTCAAACCCACCTCTATCTGCCAGACTGCAAGTCCCAAGCACTCTCTCCTACCCCAGACTGCCTCCCAACTCTACCTTAATATTGAAGCATGACACGCATAAAAATAGTTCATCTTTAAACTTCATGAGCATGCATTTATCCACTCATCCTATATTTATTGAGCACCTATTACAACCCAGGCTTGTTTCAATAAAGCTTACTAGACAGAAACTCAAAGTCCCTAAACTTCTTTCTTCAGATTTCCCTATTGGGGACCCTTTTGGGGAATTCCAAATTCTCCTTCAATAGTTTACCTGTAGCTTCAGGTGCATCTCTCAAGAAATCCACAAAATAAGTGTCAATTCCACAGTCCACCAAGAGTTTCTTCTCTTCACCAAACTCCTC